ATATATATAATATATATATTATATATATAATATATATTATATTATAATATATACAATATAATTATATTATATTAACTAATATAAAAAAAGTCATTTATTTGCTTCTTGATTTCCTGCTTATTGTTGTAACTTCACAGATATAAGGATAAAGAAGCTGAGTTGTCATGAAGTTATTTGAAAGTAACATTTAAGAGAGATACCTGGTTTTTGTCTTCAAGGTTGCTATGAGATTTAGCAGTTCACGTGCACCCTAGTGGCATCTTGCAGTGGAAGGAAAGTGGATTTTTTCAGTTCTTAACCATGTGCCAGGCCCTGTGCAACCAGTATATGGCAGAACTGGGATATGAACTCAGGTCTGACTCCATTCTTCATGTTTTCTCCATTCCACCATCATTGATTCTGTTATCCTGAAATAGTCCAGTGTTTTTTAACTTAAATGTTAGGGTCACTGTGTGGTGAGCTTTGCTAGCAGTGTATTACAGTGAGTTAGTAGGTACTTGATCTGACAAAGCAAGGTTCCTGAATAAAGTAGAATCAATGGGATATATATTCCCTGGATTTAACTGAAGTAGATCCAATCAGTGTGTGGTGTGCTGTTTCTTAGTAGACCCCTCATTTTAATTTCCTTGACTTTTTGACTCCCCAAATCTGAAATTTTCTGAGCTTCTGGGGCCATGTTTTAATTTAGTACAAATTTCTGGAGAAAAGTGTTAACTTCACCAAAGCCACATAGTTATTGGCAGAGGCTGGACTAAAGGCCAGTGGAGACTCCATTCTGGGGTCTTTCCGGTATACTCACTCAGCTCTGATAGCCACACCCACCCTGATAATATTAATAAATATCACAGCAATGATGCTATAATGGCTAACATTTATTAAGCATTTCCTTCGTGACAGGCACTGTGATAGGCTTCACCACCATTATCTCATCAAGTCTTTGTAACAACTCTGTCATGTTCGTACTGTATTATACCTGGAGAAACAGAGGCTTGACTAGCAATGAGTCAAAGGTTGCCCTGCTGGTCACTTGTAGAACAGGCCTCCCAACCCAGCAGTGTTTGACTTCAGAGTCTGAGATTTATCTGCCCTGCCTACTTTTCAGTGTGGTATCTGAAGATGTCATGCATACTTAATCTTCTAGGTCCTTTCCAAAGAAACATGAGGTAGTTTTAAACTAATATGTATTATTTAAAATATCTAGTAGCTCTTTCAAAAAGCTTTGTTTTGCCTGTAAGCAAAAACCAGCTCTTCACTTTTCAAAGGTTTGTCTTTGTGGCTCTGAGCTGTTTGATATCAGGCACTGTTATCTTTTTCATCTCTTTTCCTCTCCTGCTATAATACCATTCACATAATAAGCAATTTAGAAATATTTGCTGAATGAAAGTGAAGTCATATTAAACAGGGGGCTCTAAAAACCCAAGTTTGCATAGTGGCATTAGTTTTGATCATTATTTACTGTATGTTTTTCATTTATGTAAAAATCCATTAATAGGGAAACTTGATGGCAATCTCCTCAAAAAATATTTCTTGAATGAATAAATGATGAACTACCCTTGAAAAGTTGCATTTTCTTTAGAGTTTTTTTTCCATCAGTAGTTTATATTTTTGAGGCTAGGTGTCATGGCTCACTCCTGTAATCCCAGTACTTTGGGAGGCTAAGGTGGGCGGATCACTTGGGCTCAACAGTTCAAAACAAGCCTGACCAACATGGAGAAACTCCATCTCTACTAAAAATACAAAAATTAGCTGGGTGTGGTGGTGGGTGTCTATAATCCCAGCTACTCGGGAGACTGAGGCAGAAGAATTGCTTGAACCTGGGAGGCGGAGATTGCAGTGAGTCGAGATTGTGCCACTGCACTCCAGCCTGGGCAACAAAGCTAGACTTCACCAAAAAAAAAAAAAAAAAAAGTTTCTATTTTTGTTTTAATTGTGGTAAAAAATATATATAATATAAAACTATTTTAACTGTTTTTTTAAATCCTTTTTCTTTCCCACAAAATTGGATGTCATATTTTAACTGTTTTTAAGCGTGTAGTTCTATGGCACTAAGTACATTGACAATGTTGCACAGACATTACTCTCATCCATTCTCCCAAACTTTTCTTTGAGTTTGAAGCCTGTAAATAAAACATTTTCAAGGCTCTACCTGTTATTCAAGCAGTTTAAGTGGAAATATTGCATTCATTGCTTTATTTGGGATGTAGTAACCTTAAAAAAAATCAGTTGATTACTAAATGCCATTCTCTTTCTTTCCCCTAGTGGAATGAGACCGTGGAGCTTTTTCGTGCTAAGATGCCATTACGGAAACATCGCTGTCGTTTCAAGAGCTATGAGCATTGTTTCACAGCAGCTGAAGCTGTGGATTGGCTGCATGATCTGCTGAGGTGCAATCAAAACTTTGGCCCCGAAGTGACTCGCAAACAAACGATCCAGCTGCTAAAAAAATTCCTCAAGAATCACGTTATTGAAGACATTAAGGGAAAATGGGGTCAGGAAGATTTTGAAGACAATCGTCACTTATACAGGTAATGGCAACATGTAACCTGGAAGGTGAGGAATCATGGGGGATGAGTGAATCTGCTTCAAGTCTGTTGAAGCTTCCTGATGTGTAAGAATTTACTTTGTTCACTGAACAGTGGGTCTAGTTGTGATTTGTTGAGCGGAGAACAGAATGTGTTGCTACAATAAAACCAATTGCAATTTTTCTTGGCCTCTTAGAGCACCTCAGAGCTGTGTTGTGTTGCAGTGCTTTTTCAGTAAGGAAATCTTTTCATGCCTTTTGCTCACCTGGGAAGTTGGTGGCCATACTTAGTCCTTCTCCTGGAGAATCTGAAATGGGTGAAACAGTAGCTCTGGGTTCAGCTTTTCTAAGCAATGGGGTTTGGTATATGCAGGATGTTAGTAGCAGAGTGTGTGTGATCTTTAAACAGCTCAGGGCCCATGTGAACAATTATGCTAGAATTCCCTGTTGTCTCAGATTAAGCCTGCCAATGTGAGTCTGCTTTTCTGCAAATATTTTTGCCCATGTTTCAGTGCTATTTTATGATATGGACACTTACCACCAGATAATCCAAGGGAAAATGAAGATTGCTTGTCTTGCACTTCCCTTCTCAATGCATACTTGGCAGTTTTATTGCTGGAGGTGGAGGGGACCAACCTAAGATTCACACATGGGAGAAGACCAAAGAGGAATGAAGTCATACAGGTCTATAAAGGAATTGTTGGATTATCTACAAAGATTAAGAGAAGGAATGAAAAATATGGACCCTTAATATGTGCTTTCTTTTACTCTAGCTAAAAAATAAGGAGTGTGATTATAATATGTTCAGTGAGGGCATTCCACTGGGACACATGGCTTTGCACAGGGAAAACCTGGCTCTTTCGTAGTGGAACCATTTCCTTGTCTCCCTCTTGGCCTAGCTGCTGAGAAAGGCAGAGCAGGGTGAGGGTGTCTTTTGTGAGTGCACAGGGTGAAGAACAGACATGCTGTACATTGGAATCTAACTTCCTCATGGAATTTCATCAGCAGTCTCTTGCGCCCAGGTATCAGTACTGTCATCTAGGCAATTAGTCATCTTTCCATTTGGTGGTTAGTTTCGACTTTGCTGATCCCACTTGTAATTAGGATATGGTGTAATCTTGACCTATTCTGAGACTTAGTACTTAATAGCATCAGACAGTGGAAATTTTAGCCTTGATTTTCTATATGCCACACTTCATTGGGAATTCTTAAATGATTATTTATCTTGAGAAACTTTAATTGCTTGTACCCCATCAAGATTTAGCTAGAATACTGAAAGATTCTCCGGTTGAGTAACTTCCAGTCTGTTCTATTGTGACCTTAAATTGGATACCTCCCATCGAGTCTTAGGAGGCTTTATGAGTCCCCAGCAGAGTAAAATAGGAGCCAACCACCCAGCACTAACTGCCAGAACGTGTTCCACTTCAATATTAAGACTTAACCATGTATTATTCCTTTTTAAAAAAAAGTGTATGCAACAGATTAAATTCATATATTAAATAATGATTTTTTTCTCCAGTTTCTCTCCTAGAATACTTGTGAGTCATAAATGGAACAGTATTTTTTGTTTCACCATTTACTACCTGAAAGTTCATTCTGGCTTTCCATTTTCTTGAGTGGAAGTTGTGTAAGTTAACCACTGACTTTTGCCAATTACCTAGATTAATCTGGGATGAAATCTATTTAGGCAGGTAAATCATTTGTTAAGGTGCCCGTGCCTTGAATTGAGAGTGAGCTAATGAGTGTACAGGCAGTCGCTGCATACATGCAGGCTTCTATTACATGCCAGTGCTCCAGGAAAGAGCATTTGCTGTCCTACCTGCTGTATCTCAACTGCTTTTCTTGGGCGAAGAGTACTACTGCCAAGTTATGAAAACATAGGAGGTTAGTTTGAACAAGAGGAGGTTAGATTTGAAAATAGATGGAGAAGGCTGGGTGCAGTGGCTCACGTCTGTAACACTAGCACTTTGGGAGGCCGAGGTGAGCGGATCACCTGAGGTCAGGAGTTTGAGAACAGCCTGACCAATCTGAGAAGACCCCTGTCTCTACTAAAAATACAAAATTAGCTACGTGTGGTGGCACATGCCTGTAATCCCAGCTACTTGGGAGACTGAGGCAGGGGAATCCCTTGAACCTGGGAGGTGGAGGTTGTGGTTTGCTGAGATCACGCCATTGTACCCTAGCCTGGGCAACAAGAGCAAAACTCTGTCTCAAAAAAAAAAAAAAATAGATGGAGAGTCAGTGAAATGTCAAAATCCAGGAACATCCTTCTGATTATCAAGCTTTGTGAAAAGGAGCCTTTAAAAATGTATTTATTTAAATTAAATTTCATTAATTTTAAATTTATTTATTTAAATTTTAGTTTAATTTATTTAATTTTTATTACCATATAATAATGGTGCATATTTAGGGAGTACTGAGTGATATATTGATCCAAGTATCCAGTGTGTGATGATCAAATCAGGGTAATCAGAATATTTATCACCTCAAACATTTTTCATTTCTTTGTGTTGGGAATATTCAAAAATTCCTTGTAGAATGAGTTAGGAAGAATTCTCTTCAGTTTTTTGGAATAATTTGAGAAGAACTGAAATTAATTTTTCTTCAAAGGTGTGGTAGATTTTATTAGTAAAGCTGTCCAGTCCTGGACTTTTCTTCATTAGGAGACGTTTTATTATGATTCAGTCTTGTTACTTGTTACTGATCTATTCGAATTTTCTATTTATTTCCGGTTCAATCATGGTAAGTTGTATGCGTCCATGAATATATCCATTTCCTTTAGGGTTTCCAATTTGTTACTTGTATTTATTCATTAAATAAGTTTTCTATGCCTTTTCCTATCTCTTCACTTTCTGAAATGCTCAAGATACACTTGTTTATTTGCTTAATGGTATCCCATATGTTTTGTAGGCTCTATTTTCTTTATTCCTTTTTCTTTATTTTTATCAGATGGGGTTATTTCAGAAGACCTGTCTTCAAGTTAAGAAAGTTTTTCTTCTGCTTGATCTGGCCTATTGAAATGTTGGCTGTTTTTTTTTTTTTTTTTTAATTTCATTCATTGAATTCTTAATTTCCAGGATTTCTGTTTGATTCTTTTTATTTATACCTATCTTTTTATTAAATTTTTCATTCAGAGCTGGGTGTGGTGGTGTGTACCTGTAGTCCCAGCTACCCAGGAGGTGAGAGTGTTGCTTGCATATGGGAGTTTGAGTCCAGCTAGGGCAACATAGTGAGACCTTGTCTCTTTAAAAAAATATATATTATTCAGATCACAAGTTATTTCCCTCATTTCTTTGTATTGTCTATGTTATTTTGTATCTTACTGAGCTTCCTTGAGATCATTATTTCAAATTCTTTTTCAGACATTTCATTGATTTCCTTCTTTCAGATCTGTTAATGGAGAATGATTGTGTCCTTTTGGAGGTTTCATGTTACCTTGCATTTTCATGTTTTTTATGTCTCAACGTTGATATCGGTGTATCTGGTGGAACAGTTGATTTTTCCAGTTTTATGGATTGGCTTTTGTAGGTAAAGACGTTTTTCCTGTAAATCTGTCTATAGTGTTGGCTGGTTAGGGTGCTTTCCCTTTGATTTTGGATATGTGCAGTAATTTAGTCTCTGTATTATTTCTTTGGCTGTAATCAATGCCAGTGGTGTCTGTGAGTTCCTCAGTGGCTTAGGTTGGAGGCTGTGGCAAGGCTTTTCTGATGATGTGGATGCCAGGCAGGCTGATCCTGCAGCCCATGGGTGGTATGTGTGTGCCCTTGGGTGGTGGTAGTGAGCAGGGTGTGATGGTTGTCAGCTCCCTGGGTAGTATATGCAGGAGCTGGCATTGACGGTGGAGTGCCTGGGTGGGCTGGTCTGAAGGGAAACGTTTTATAAGTAGTACTGGGAATACGGAAATGGACATTGAAGAGTTCTTGCTGGAAAGGAAGCAACTAATATCCTAGAGCTTCTGTGATATTCCAACCTCATCACGTAATTCATTATCTAACTCAACACCTGTAGATGGAAGTGGTAGTATCCTAGTTGTAAAGATTAGGAAAATAATAAGGCCAAAGTAACTAACTTGTCCAAAGTAATCCAAGTAGTAGTGGGAGAGTCAGGATTCAAAATGAGATCTTCATCTCTGAAGCCTATGCTCTTGTGGTATGCCAGGCTGCCTCCATTTTCACAACATGAGATTGACTTAGTTTATCAAATATATTAGTAAATGAAAGAGTAACCACACAGAATAAGCAAGAAACATTTGGCGTAGTCAACAAGTTTATATTCACAGAGTTCTTGCAATGCATTATTATGTAATACATATTAAATGATGAACTGTCTTCTTCAAGAAGTTCTTCTCGAATAAAGGAGTTAAGGGAAATATAATCAACTGAAATACTTATATAAATATAGCAAAAGAGAGGTGGTTTCCTTGGTCTATGAATTAGAGAAAGGTACCTGAAATATAAGGGTTCTTTTTGTATATTTTAAAGAGAGGGAATTTGCATATATATGTTAGAGAATTTTATTAAAAAGATGATGAGTAAAACCCTTAATTTGAAATGTGTCAAAATGATTTCCAGATTTAAAAAATGCATGGCGTATTTGTTATGTGAATGCATTTAAATTTTTTAGTTTTTTTTTTTTTTAAGACTCAAAATGTTCAGTATAGAAAATAGAAGGGAGGAGTGAATTTTAGTGTGTAAGAAAGGAAAGCAAGTTTGTAATATCTGAATGCCTATAATAATAATAAGGTGTTGTAGAGCTGTACCCCAGCACTATACTTCTTTTCTATTAACCAATAGCAATTACTAGAAAGAGTTCTGGATTTGCTGCTGGTGAAAACAATTTTAGATTTCACTAAGTGGTGCTCATAGTTGCACCAGATGCTGTTGTCTGTGTCTTAAAGCTTTATGACCTTAAACTTCTAATGGATAAGAAGAATGAATTACACTACTTTATATGTTTATAAGAAATTTTGGTTTATGAAGCATTTCTACTTCTGTGATCTCATTT